CCAAGCAGGTCTCCACTCAACCCTCCCCACGGATAAGTGCTGCATGCAAATAACTCACCACTCGTGTTAGTGGAAGAGTGGCACAAGTACAGGCAGAAGCAGTGGGGCCATTAAATTTATGTTCCCTCACCTTCACTCTCACAGTTCTGCCATGCAGTAGTTTGGACTGAAAGCTAATGCTTCATACAAAGAATAAAGGGTCCCTGATATCCTAGGCCCAATATTGGGGTAGGGGGGGTGGGGGAGGGGGAAGACATACTTACATATGTACACAGAAGTAAAATAAGTAAAACACGATTCATATTTTTAATTTTGCATTTACAGTGCAATACCTCCTATTCACAACGACTTGTGAACAACAGCTTTAGGACAGCACTGCATCAAGATAATTACTTCTGTTTAAAACAAAATGAGTTACTAAGGTGAACAGATTGAGTAATCAAGCTCAATTAAGCATGCGCAATATGCACTGTAACAACATTCATTCTTTGGCAAAGTGATAAAAAAGCTTTATTTTCTTTTGATTTCTGGTAGTCTACCTCAAAGAACTGTTCATTCCTACTTCAACCCAGCTAGCGTTTCCATGAAGATGTATCATGAATTTTAGCTACTTTGCCAAAGATATTGTTGGGAAGGGGGAAACAAAGAAAAAACATCCTACAGCTACAAGCAGGAGACAATATTAGCACCAACACAGGCATCAGGCTTCGCTGGTACAGTTCACGCTCTGGTCAAACATTGTTTTCGTGTAGGAGAGTGGTGTCGTGCTTTGGAAGAGAAGCCACTTTTGGGGCTATACACTTATGAGAATGTTTCAAAAGACAGTTTTCTTCCCATGCAGCAGAATGGTTGTAGCTTCAGGAAAACTGCATTAAATAACTTGTGGCTTGGCTCAGGCATTTTAATTTATTATTATTGTTGCTGTTGTTTTTGTTGTTGCTTTTGTTGCAGCTAACATAAAAAAGCTATAGAAATCTCACCTCCTTCTATACCCAGAGCAACACATTTTGCTTTGGTACCAGAAGATGGAGCCACACACTCACAGTTTTAAAGTGGTTTTTTTTTTCCTCCTGTTCTGCCAGAAAAAACACCCATGAAGCAGACAGTGCCTAGAAACTGCTCTCTTACCTTACATGAACCTGCCTTTTTACTGCGTCTATGCGTACTGCTAATCTGGTGCATGCCTTACCCTATGTCAGCTGCCTTTCTCAGATGTTTCCATAACAACTGAATTTTCCTTACTGCAAATATATTTTCTGAATTGCCTACCATGTCAAAATGAAATCAGGAAACAGAACCAAACTAAGCCAGGCATTTCCAACTGCTAAAATATCACACTTTTCATTTCCTTCATGAAAGGATATTAAAGGAAATCATACATGTCCCAGAACCATCAACATAAGACTCTTAACTCCTCATCTTGTTAAAAGGCCAAATAAATATAGATATAGTATCATATTTACTCTGTGTCCTAAAGCTTAAAAATGTGTGCTCAGATAAGAGAATAGGCTAGGTTTGTACTCTGCAAACCCTTCAGCACTGCTGCAGTCACTCAAAGCCATGCATTTGATGCAACCGAGGCATGCCAAAAAAAAACCCAAACCCCAAACCCCCAAAAAACAGTGGGAGATGCTATGCCATGGCTGCTCCCTCAGGCCCTGCTCTGGGCAGCTCCCATCCACTACCCTGCAGATGCATCCATGCTGTAGCAGTGTCAGTGACAGCTGCTCCACAAGCAGGGCAGGCAAGGAGCATTGCTGACCCCCCCGCAGCTCCAAGCTGAGCGGTGGGACAGGGCCGGTCAAGTCTGACAGCAAGTCTGCCAAACCTTGGCCCTTAGCCAACACAGTGTGCGCTTGTCCTACTACATACAGCCACCTCCATGATACATTAAGATGAAAAGAGCCTTTGTAAAGTGACATACATCTGAGGGGAAGAGAAACTCTTCACTAAAGGTATTAAAGCCTATTAGGGCTTTCCTTTGTTGGCTAGTTGCTCCTTGTCAGCTGTATGAGCAGCCAGTCCTAGAGAGTCAGATCAAAGCAAGATAATGGCATTCCTAATAAAGCCAGCAGAGATCTTTCAGGTAAAAATGTTTATTGTTCAAGAACACTATCAGGTCCTTTCATATCCTTTCCTGATGTGGCAATGTCTCAAGTTACTACAGAACTGTTTTAAATACAGACTTAATTATTCTTTTTGCCACTCTTTCAGACTGATCTCAGGCAGCAGAAGCAGGTGACTAGTTTTACTCTCATTCATTTCCTTAGTACAATGCCATAACCTCTTTATAACAAATCCTCCACAACACTTAACATCTCTCTAATGGGACATCAAAAACGAAATCAGCAAAACATTCTAGCAAAGTGGTTCACCAAACAAAAAATCATTTATTTTTTTACAAAATCTAAATATAGGACAAAGCATGCTGCCTCTATAACCCTGAATGCTGCAACCTGCTATCAGCAGTAGATATCCACATGTGGCTTCAGCTCCCACCAGTCCTTGGGGAACTACCATTTGATGGGGAAAACCAGAAGGGTGTGTGTAACACTGAGTGGAGCCCACAGCAGGCGAGATTGACCCAAGTGTCATCCTCTATCCAGAGCTTGTAGGTACCACAAGAAGGCTTCAGCGTGTGGAACCACTAGAGTAATAGTTACTACTACTTCTCAGCTTTTATTTAAAATATTGTACTTGCAAGCTTATATCCACCAATTAAAGGCACCCCGAGCGACAAATCTGAAGAAAATGTCATGCCGATCCTTTCCCCCCCTCCATTTACTTCAGTGCTGCAGCTGAAAGCCCAGTTATAGCTTTGGTTGCCAGGATTCTGAGCAGTGTCTCTAGCATTCCCTGTACGATTTTTGGACAATCACTTAAAAATTTGAATTTGCTTCCTTTTCCTGTAACATGTGAACAATACTCAAAGTCCTCAGGGGAGCACTACGTTTGGGAATCACTTTGGGGCTATGAAAGCACTCCGTAAAGGTGTAAGGGAGCTCTGGGTTGGGATGCTGAGGCAGGACAAACCCTCAACGTGAACAAAAAGGACTTTCATACTCTTCCCATCCATAGTCTAGGTCCCTTGCAGAGCAGCCACAGCTGTAGCAGTGGTCCCAGTCAAATTGCAGGAGGTAGAGACCTCTCAACCATGCATCCAGTGCAGGCAGAGGTCAACTGTGCGGCAAAACCACCAAAAGTGGCTGTACCATGCACCTACCAGGCTTAATCCACATTAGACTACAAAACCCACAAAGGACACCCGGGCAGCACGTGTATAGTATGCTAGATGTATTCCAAATATGTCACCTGCACTGTTCGTGCTCTCTCTGCTCAGAGAGAAATGGAAATCCCAGACAGAAATACAGGATTCCTATTGCACTGCAACGACGGCAAGCTGAGGAAATCTCCAGGAGGAAGCAGAAAAGGCCACGCTGTTGATAGACTATTGTGTCTGCAAGATGGACAAGAATTTGAACTCTTTTGTAAGGAGACCAAACATATCACTTAATAAAAACAAGGCATCCTACAATGAACCTCTCTTTCCCATATTTATTCCTCTCTAAACACAGCAGTGCACAGATTATAGGAAATGGTTTTACATTTAACTTCAACCCCAAGTGGTAAAGAAACGGATTGTATCTCACAATGTAAATTTGCATCTACCATCATTTAATGGATGTTTTATACATGCTATGTACTACTGTGTTTTTATGAAAAGGCAAAAAAATTACTTGGGAATTTGTTTTTAATTAAGCAATAAGGCTCAATGGGGTACTGCTATCATGCAATAAAACCACTCCTGGGGTGTTGTGAGGCATTTGGTCCAGATGAGTGCTTCAAATCACCCCCAGATTGTGATTAGATGATTACTCCCTGGAGTTAATATTAGATGGTTCTCTCTAGAGTTGTCTTATTGCTATTATAAAAAGTCTTCAACATGGGGAAACTAAGTAGCTTTTGTGCTTGAAGAAGATGAAGTTCACAGTTTCGACTGTTTGAGTGGCTGGCTGAGCTGTGTGGGTCCCATAGATCAATTCACCTATTTAGCATGTGTGAAAGATCATCTCAGTGCATTTCTTTGACCCAAATAGTTTTACAATTAAGTGGCTTTCTTTTTTCTAGGAGATGGAAGGATATAAAGAGCAAACAACTCCAAAATAAAGCAATCCCAAGACAAGGCGCTGAGGAATTTGATTCTGAGATATGTATTGCTGGCTTTATCTTTTTGTAGGGAATAATGAATCCTAATCACTATTATGCTAATTGTATTAACGAAGGCTAATGCATGCAGTAGCGGTAAGAGATTCTCCCAAGTTGGGTGCATGAGGAGGTACACGGCCTGAGGCATTTGTGCGGGCTCCCAAGCTAATGAATTCAAACAGCCCAAATGGTACAGAGCCAAACTGCAGTGCCCTCCCCTGCCTCCCCCCAACTGCTCTTCAGGGTTGAGGTTAGAAAAGAAATATTTAATTCTAATAAAAGACAAAAAAAGAAAAAAAACAACCACAAAACAAAAAACAAAGCTTCCTGCATATTTCAGTATACCAGTAAGAGAGAAATCTCAGGAAAACATTAACTCTTGTGGGTCCCTTCCACTCCCAATTTTTCACAGCTTGAGCTGAAGTACAGAGCAGAATCCTCAACTCCTCCTCCTCCAGGTGTCCCTCAACAGCCCACAACACACCTCCTATTACACAAAATCCCTCTGGTTTCTCGTGCAGGCAATAATTTTTACACTTCACAAATTAAGGTGTGATCCTTCACACATCCTCTGCGCCCTAGCCTATGTCACATCTCATACCCTGCACAGCCCAGGCAGCAATACACTCTCTAAAAGCCAATAAACCTCTTCCACCTGGTAAGAAATCCCCATGGTTCCTCCTTCGGCTCAGCACCTCTCCATTTAAAGATCCAGCATGCCAATGGATGGGGATCCCAGCCAAGCTGAGGTTTGCTCTTGGTTTCCAGGATGTCAGCAGAACACCTTGAAAAAAAACCACACCACCTTTCTGTTTTCCCTTATTTCGAAGAACACGAAAGGAAACAAGGATTTCCTTTTTTTTTTTTTCCCCTCCTTCCCCTTTCACAGAGCTCTCTGCAGTATGCACTCGATGCATAAAACTTCCCCAGGCAATTGCAGCAGATGCCTTCCTGCACAAAAGGCATTGATGTGGGGCAAGGCACGGGTCCCTTACAAAGAGATAATTTTTCCTTTCTGAGCGACACACACACTCGGCCTGGGCAGCAGTTCCAAAGAAAAGAGACCAAAGCATGTTCTTCACATAAATAGAAGCTATATCCATGGGCAAAGCAGGGTTTATGAATTAAACTCTTTTACGTGTCTTTGACTAATCAGTCAATCATAGGTGAACACATTTACATCTTTTTAAATTAACCAATGATTATCACACTCTTGTTCCCCACTTTAATATTTGAAATGCCTAATCTACCTAAGTTTAGTGTTTGAAATACCTAATAGTTCACCACGATTTATCTTGTGCAATAAAAGCACACTCTGAGTACGAGATCACTGTTTAAATAGAATAGCAATAGTAGGAAAAGACTTCAGATGAAGAACACACACAGAATGATGTTATTCTGGAAGGAAGGCTGAGCCCAAAAGATGCAGTACTGTCTCAGCATGCTGCAAAATGCTTTCAGCAGCTTTTTTAGACACATCTGTTTTTTCCACATTGGTTTCATACATTTTTCCTCTAATATTACACCCCTCTCTGCACTGAATACCTGCACCTTCTCACAGTTCTGGCATTTCATACTCTTTTACCTCACCTCTTTCTCACCTTCCCCTTTCATATTTTGACTAGAACCCACTCCCATTACTGGGGACCGCTACTCAGAAATAGTGGTCTGGCAGCATGCCAAAACCTACTGCTTGTTTGTCAGTGCATACTCACGTGTCCCACTCCTCTGAAGAGACCAAACTTCTTTTGAGCTTTCCCTGTTGTATGTCCCCGTACTGGGCAGCTCTTGGGTGCAACCTGAAGACTCACGGCAATCGACCCATTTGATCAATCCACTCAGAAAACGAACATGAAGCTCATGCTGTTAAGGATGAAAGAAAGCATGGGTTAATGACACAACCTGAAAAAACTGAGACTAGGCAGCCTGGATTAAAAAAACAAACCAACCACAACTTTTTGATTGAAACAATGCAACTCCTTCCTTGCTTGGACCTGCTCACTTTTCAGCTACAAAATGCCCTTGCTACCTTCAACCCAACAGCCCATATGGGAGAAGCCACAGAGCTGTCACAGGGCACATGGTGTTGGTGCTCCGGGAGGCAGGGAAAGGGCTGCCAGTGTGGGACAGTGGAGGTGTTTCTGCACCGCACGGTGAGGCGCATCCACAGTCCTGGCAGCAGCAACCTCCCACTCACCACTTCATACACCCAGTGCCAGAGGTCCACTGTGCCTGGTTTGCTCATGGTTTTAAGTTTCAAGTTTTATCATGTCTCCTGCTCACAGAATACTCTATCATGCAGAATGGTACACACTGATGACATCATGTAAAGAACATTTCAGTGACAAAATACCCTGAATATTTTACAGTTAAGAAGGGGGATACAAATGGAACTACATATTACATGCTGATCCAAAACAGGAATAAAACCTCTTACCAAGCTTTGGATCAGATCTTCTAACCACTTCTGTGATTACAGTTACAGTCCACTGTGAAGAGAACAAGTTATTAAAACCGAAATTGGCTTAGCAGGGAAACCCCTAGCATTTCTCTCTCCCACTGTATCTTTCACCACTGCTATTTATCACCGAAAATTAAGAGGGAACAAGCAAAATACCTTATGCCTTCACAGCACTGAGGTCCACAGACAAGTGCCAAAGCTTAACACAAACACCAGCATACAGCCTGAAGAGAACATGGGTTTGAAACCCTTCTCGTAGTGCTGACAACCATGTGTCGTTTTTACTGGGGAGAACACACCCCCTTCTTTCTCTTCCCTAGAACCCAACCAAGAGCAAATAATTATTACGTATTTATGCACAGCATTTAAATTTAGCCTCTGCTGTTTACCTGCTTGGTCATTATTGGTTGTTCAAGACTTCAGTTCCAACTCTACCTAAAGGCCATGCACAGCACTGCACACACGTGACCAAGAAAACAGGGCTGAAGGTCTGAGCAGGGAAGGGCAACGCACAGCAAACACGAAGGCTCTTATGATGCAAACTTGCAGCTTTAGAATCTGCAAGCGTGAGTGGTTTCGTGCTTCCTTGCACACGACAGCTTTTGCAATGATCACCGACATTTCTGAGCTGGGACATGACCCTGCAGTGAGGCACACGGGGCTATGAGTCAGGAGCTCCAGGGGCTGTTCCTCAGCCTCCCAAGTGATTCACTCTGAGACAGAGCCTGTTGCTGCTGAAAACAATAGCAAATAACCCACTCTTCCTATTTCAGTGATCAAGCTGCGTATGACCATATGTAACTCCAAGTTTCAGTTTTACTCTCTGTGAGGAGGGTACAAATTCTCACACAGCTATTAGAATTTATGCTGCACTTCAAGATCCTTAGAATAAAGTGCTGCACACATGCAAAGCACAGCAATGCCGTTGTAAAAACAAAAGCACATTGACTGTGTATTGCTTCCTTAAGCGAAAGGCAGAGGAGCCAGCAGGTCTCAAGGTTGATTTCAGGAATACTTCTGTCACTCTGACAATCATTTTGCAGCCAGGCTCCTAGGAACAACTCAAAGAGTGGGTAACTTCCCGCACGTGGGCCGAGAGAAACCCCAAGGACACAATGACCCTCTGAAACGGGTTTGTCTGGCGGTGGTTTCAACACATGTGGCTATTTTGGAAACTGACATTCTGAAGTTTCAGTCTGTACTGACAGAGCTGAGCAGGGCTCCGATTTCTGCACCATCAGACTTGGAAGCACCTCATTTCTAAAGCACACAAATGATGCTGGTAGGGCTTCAGAGACACAAATCAATCACAGCAGTTCATACGTTTCTAAAATAGGCTGATTACTGAATCCACCGGAAGCCAGATCAGACAAACAATCATCCCTCCACGCACACCGTACCCTCACAGAGCATAGGACAGAGGTTATTCATGCTTACAAGTAACCCATATAATGAACACACGTTGACTTATTCACTCATTAAGTAATAGGACTATTCCAAGCTCAATTCAATAAAATCTCCACAGTTAAAAGCTGTCTCGTCCACTGATGAAATACCCCAGGTAGTCAATTAGTTAAAACCACTGTCTGTCCTATGATCACAGTGGGTTCCTAACATCCCAAACTGAGTATTAATATTGAGTTTTATTCAAAATAATTTTATCAAATGCCTGTTGTTTTTTTGGTTTTTTTAAACATGCACTAAACATACACTGCACTCAGAATTTAACACAGGTTTTTGTTACTATTATAATCTAATATTTTCCTGCAGGCTGTTGTTGTAATTCTGCCACTAGAAGATAATAAAAAGCCATTTTCTCCCCTGCAGAGCTTACCTTTGGCTGACTCAGCTGAGCAGCTGCAGTTTCCTTTACTTGCTTCGAAATTATTGTATCCCAGTTGGGCAAGATATTTCTGCTACTGAGAAACAAGTGGTTCTGGAGGCCAGAGGCAATAGATCAGATAAAGCAACTGGAGCAAGGTAAAGAGACTTTAAAAGCTGGTTATCTGGGCTGCAGCTTTTTCAAGTGGTCCCACAAATGTTTCACTTTTACAGCCAGAAAAAAAGAGCTCCTGAGTCTGCCTATCTTAAGATTACTGGTTAAACTCTGAGTTTGTGTCTCAATAAGGCATTCAAACAAGGATGTAACAGCTTCCAAAACAACCAACCAACCGAAAGTCAGCTCTCAAGTGCGACCGGTTAATACTGACTGCATGCCCAGTGTGTACCTCGAGGCTTTCCTCGCCTCGTGCAGCAGTTGCCTGAACACGCCTCCATTTCTGACTGAAGAGGGACAAAGTAGAAACAACCTTCAAATTCCAGGCTGTTTGGCTAACCCAATGGTACGTATGGCCAACATGTAATAATTACAGCCCAGGTGAGCGTATTGAGAAACAACAAGAAAAATAAATCAAAGTACTACATCTCAGTGATAAAGACTATGATTAGGATAACGTGAGAGCAAATTCAGAATAATTTTAGCACATAGGGGAAAAAAAAAAACAATTTAAGAGTAATAATCTATGGCTGGTTAGATTATTATTGTGGCAGCTAAGACAAACTCTGACATATTTAGTTCAGTGCTTTGTATATTTACAGTTAGCTTTATGTAAAAAAGCATTTTGTCAAGGATGAATTTCTAAGCTAGGTAGATCTCCCCAGACCTAGAAGACTGCTTGCAAGGCAGCCAGGATGGAGACTGCTGGTGTCCGGGCTCAACACAAAACAGCTCCCAGTTGTGAGAACTGGTCTGCAAAGGCTCTGCCCCTCCTTCCACTGACAGAGCACTCACTCCTGCTCTCCCACAAGGACAGAAAAGACCCCACACTAAAGCCCTAGCAATAACCTGAAAAACACTGCTCAGCCCAGCAGCCTGCCCTCTGTGGTGAGCTCTCTTCTCCCAGGTTTTCAGAAGTCTGTTGACAACCCGACAGCCCTCTCTGTAACCCTCTCTCATACACTGCCAGGGAGCCACGTACAACTAACTTAGTCCATGTCCTCGTTCATCTGCTCATCTGACACAAGGTATGAAGAAATAAGGCCTTGTGGAAACTCTCGTGACTGCCCAAGCACTTTAGCTCTAAAGCGCACCACGAGCTTCCCAGCCCACATTATTATTACCAAAGAAAATGAAAACCTGGGAAAAAAAACATTTCTAATACCTTGACAGGTCCATCAGTTCCCATTAAAAATAGAAAAGCTATTACAGAAAGTGAGCAAGCACCTGAATTATAGATCAGCGCAGGCCCGGGTAGCCCAGGGTTGTTTCACAGTGCCAGCCAAGGGCCAAAGCTCCGCTCACCCACGCCTCCGGCCCGGGGCGCCCACAGCAGG